CCCCCCACCAGTGAACCAGAAGACTGGCAACCTGTTTCAGATAATTTTGATAAAAGAAACAAGATCTTATAAAGAATAGTAGTAATAAAATCAGTAGAATCAGGAAAAAGAAGACAACACATTTCTTTGCGTCTTTCCCAATTCAGACGAATGCTTTGATTTTCAAGGTAAGTCAGAAAGGACGAAGAGTTGTCCTATAATAATAGAGTAATTTGAAGAAGTTTGCACTTTCGAAGGTGAACTTTTATCAAACAAAGTAAATTGCGCAATCTTTTAGAGACGTCCCAAAGTACATCGAATGAAACACATGAAGAAATCTGGTACGCATAGGCCCTACCTTCACTGGGTGTAAAAAAATAAAAAGTCAAGTAAGCAAATCCGAAATTCAAGGTGGAATGTTTTGCACCTTTACGAAAAGTGACGGTTGAAAACCACCGCAATTGGATTATCAGGCCCTGGAGTGCAAAATGGGACAAGAAGAGGGGAGAAAAGGGAAAGAAAAGGCAAAAGTGTTGGTACATAATCAGGTTACAGGTAGAAAAAATGCAAAAGGGTAAACAGCCCACACTTGTTTCATGACGGGGGCGATAGTGGCGACCTCTTCACCGCCACCACCCGCCCGGCTCGGTTGCCAGGTAAAATTCTTCTCCCTTAAAGGTAAAGACACTCGCGAGCGGTGTAGCAACAGAAAAGTGCACTCGGAAATTTGTACTCACCCTTTGCACGACCAAGGGCTGGACGAGGTCCTTTCCTCCCTGAAGACGAAATCCCCACGGGGTTTGGAAAGAGTCGCGGTACAAGTGAACGTTAAGGCGTGAGCCTACCATCTTGGGGTCTTTTAAAGTTTTAAGTTGTCGTCGTCGTCTTCGTCTTTGTCCTTGTCGTTATTTACGCCATGCCCCCCTCACAACTTCGACTCCGGCAAAAGTTCGCTCACTTCCCACCTTCAGAGAGGACGCGAGGGCTGGCACGAGAAGGAGAACAGAGCACGCGCGTGAGTATGTAACGCACGCGCACGGGAGCGAGGTGAAACGAGGCTCTCGGGTGTGAGCGAGAGTGAGAGCGAGGGGGGCGAGCGGAACAACACACGTGGGCTGCCAGGGACAGACAGGCACGGGCACATCTACCTTGGCCAACCTACACACAAGACACCCGGCGAATTGGTTGTTGTATCCCCTCCTCCACGTGTTTGTTCTTCACTCACTGTTAACTCCTCTAAACCCACAGTGGATAAACGCTTTTGTCTGTCTGTCTGTCTGTCTATCTGTCCGTCTGTTTGTCTGTCTGTCTGTCTGTCTGTTTGTCTGTCTGTCCGTCTGTCTGTCTGTCTGTCTGTTTGTTTGTTTGTTTGCCTGTTTGTCTGTCTGTTTGTATGTCTGATTGTTTGTCTCTCTCTCTTCATATCTTCTCTCTCTCTCTCT